TGCTCTTCCGATCTTACTACTACTACTACTACTACTACACTACTACTACTACTACTACTACTACTACTACTACTGCTACTACTACTACTACTGCTGCTACTACTACTAGCTACTGGCTACTGCTACTGCTGCTACTACTACTACTACGACGACGACGACTATTACTACTACTACTACTACTACTACTACTACTACTACTACAGGATCCGTGTTGGAGGCAACAATTGTGGGTGGTTTGGTAGAGTTTGTTCTTTGTTTTACACCGTTAGCACTCAGTCAGCACTATAGTTAACACTGCTTTCCAGTGATCCTGCCTGCCTCCTATCAGGTGTCGTGTGGACGGAGCGCTATCAGTACGGTCCCGGGCCCAGATGCTCTGTCGAGACTGCTGAACAGTCAATCCCCGAATGTTCATACCCAAACCATACAGCCACAACCCCTAACTCAAGCCATCTCTGATTTTCTCTGTCCTCGTCCAGGAAGTCCTATAGCATCAGCTCGCGAGGCCAAAACCGCAAACAAAGGAGTAGCTGTAGAAGGTTTTCCTCCAGTTGCAACTTTCAGGGCAGCATTTTCCAAAGTTACGTACAAGCACAGGTTGTCCAGTCTTCCACCGGAGTTCATAAGGCCTTTACGCTGTCTCGTTTGGGCTTTATAGGGGACTTATGGAGATCAGTCTAAGTTGTCTCAAAGCAAAGCGAGACTGAAGCCGGGCCTAGCAAACCAATGCTGGTTGCCAGGGCATTGGGTGAGGCTTGAAGGACGTCTTCATGTCTGGGTCGAAGCTGCAGCTTTTTGCAGCGTAGTTCGGGCAAGTTTAGGTCGGTAGGGCTATCGATGGTTCGGGAGCTCCCATCAATCAAGAGAATATGGCTCAAATTCTGTTCTTCGGGTGGTAGCAGACATGGGACTTCCACAGCGGCCATTTACGAGCGAGCTTCTTGGCAGCGACAGAGTTTGAAGAGCGGCGTGAGGTGCTGGCCAGACTTACCTGCATGCACTGAACAACGGCAGCTTTGGACACCCGGAGGTTTGCCACAAACCCTGCCAGTTCTTCAGCATCGGGGAATGTGAGATGGGGCACTCGTGCGGCTACTGCCACCATGCCTCACACGAGACCTCTGCTGCGAGCTACTGGCCAAGCTGCCTACAGATCGGTTGCGAGATCTTTTCCTCCCAATCCTTTCTGAGCGTGCCGCAGCCAGCGACCTCCAAATTATGGAGGTTGCGCCGATGCTGGCGCAGCGTTTCAGACTGAAACGCCCGGAAGGCCTCCTGAGCTTCCAACGCCCTCCCGAAAGCCTCAGCCTCAACCCCCGCCAGAATCCTGCGCTGCATCCTGGGACCCTTCCGTACCCTAAACCCTTACCTGGACCCTAAAGAACCTACCTTCTTAGGGTTCCTTAATATGATTTCGCTGTTTTTACTTCCTGAAACAGGTAGGTTCTTTAGGGTCCAGGTAGACCCCCCACTAAACCCTAGACCCTCCGAAGGTGCACCCCCCAACAACGCTATCCGCCAGGAGCTCGACATGCTCGCTTGCAAAGTCCGCTCGCAAAGGCTGAGTGGCCCAGTCGGCTTTGGCGAGCAGCCTTTTCTGCCCATGGCGAGCTCCTGACCTAGCAGAGCTCGCGACCAGCGCTTCTGAAGACTCGCTGCGGAGCAATGTGACAGGCAGGGCCTGAGCTTCGCCAGCCCTGCCAAAAGCCTCAGCCTCAACCCCTGGACCCTAAAGAACCTACCTTTCTAAGGGTTCCTTAATATGATTTCGCTGTTTTTACTTCCTGAAACAGGTAGGTTCTTTAGGGTCCAGGTAGACCCCCCACTAAACCCTAGACCCTCCGAAGGTGCACCCCCCAACAACTCTACCCGCCAGGAGCTCGACATGCTCCTTTGCAAAGTCCGCTCGCCAAGGCCGAGTGGCCCAGTCGGCTTTGGCGAGCAGCCTTTTCTGCCCATGGCGAGCTCCTGACCTAGCAGAGCTCGTGACCAGCTGAAGACTCAAAAGATCAGCTTGTGGTGTTTAAGTTTCACACGAGAGGCACCTGCTCGATCGGAGAGACCTGGGGGCCTCTGCCAGGTTGCTTATCCCGGCTCATGGTTTGCCGTTTCAGGGCGTGCTCACTTCAGGTCTCGGTCTCTTTGGTGTCCTTTGGCGATCTTCGCGCGTGGAGGCTAAGTTAGCGAAGTAACTTCGGGTCTGCAGAACCCTCTAAGGAGCAACCGGCTTTACCGTCGGCGAGGATGCGCGACTGGAGGCCCGGCTCTCTGCAGGGCTGCAGGGGTTTATGAATGGGGGCTACGGTCGGTTTCGATTGGCCCGAACACCCGATCCTAAGTCTAAGCTTGAGGTTGAAGCCCTACTGTGCGGGGACTACGTGACTACTCCCTGCGCCACTCCTGAAGCCGAGAAAGTCAGAACCTTGCTTTCACATCAGGACCCGGCGGTCTAAGAAGACCCTGACGCTGCTTCCATAAGAAGCCGCCCTGCTGGTAAGCTTCAGGGTTTCATTAGCGTAATCGCAATGGCCGGTCAAAGAAAAGCAACGGGTAAACCCTTCTGCGTCCAACCTGCAAAGCCCAGGACAGACTGTTTGACCCAAACGCGTCTCAGCTCTGCTTTGATCAGCCGTAAATCCCTAAGTTTAACGTTTCAAGCCCGATCACCCGAGCCCTGAACCGTGCAGTCCATTCATGGTAGGGATATCGCGGTGATTTGTTGTTAGGTGTAGTCGTAATTGTAGTAGTCGACGTCGTCGTCGTAGTAGTGGTGTAGTAGAAGTAGTCGCAGTAGTAGTAGTAGAAATAGTAGTAGCAGCAGTAGCAATAGTAGCAGTAGCAGAAGAAGAAGTAGTAGTTGTCGTCGTCGTAGTAGTGGAAGTAGTGGAAGCAGTGGAAGTAGTGGTAGTAGTAGTAGTAGTAGTAGTAGTAGTAGTAGTAGTAGTAGTAGGTAGTACGTAGTACGTAGTACGTAGTACGGTGTAGTAGCAGTAGTAGTAGTAGTAGTAGTCGTCGTCGTCGTCGTAGTAGTAGTAGTAGCAAAAGCAGTAGCAGTAGCAGTAGCAGTAGCAGTAGCAGTAGCAGTAGCAGTAGTAGTAGTAGTAGTAGTAGTAGTCGTCGTCGTCGTCGTCGTCGTAGTGGTGGTAGGAGTAGGAGCAGGAGTAGTCCTAGTAGTAGTAGTAGGAGTAGTAGGAGTAATAGTAGTAGTAGTAGTAGTAGTAGTAGTAGTAGTAGTAGTAGTAGCAGCAGTAGCGGCAGCAGCAGTAGCAGTAGCAGCAGCAGCGAAAGTCCTTCTCGGTCTCGTTCTTTGGCACCTA